CCGGCGCCGCAGCCACCGCCCGGCGAGCTCCGCGGGCCGCACGGCCCCGCAGCTGGTGACGGGGCTGCGCCCTTGGCGCTGGGAGCGGGAAGGCGGGCCTTGCGGATACTAACACTGGTGCTGTTTCGAAATGTGACCTGTTCTGTGCTCTGCGGGAGCCGGCGGCGTGTTCCCTCTGGCGGCACACCAAGAAATGTGCCTTTTGCCGATCTGACAAAATACGGATAATGTCGATTCGCTCCCACCAGACAGCGACGGCTGCGCTGGCGGTTGGCGGAGTTTTATTTGATGGTCTCAGGGAGAAGAGGTCAGGGCCCTGACTAAATAGTCAGGTTTCGCATGTTTTAAAAATCCTGGCGGCAGGCGGTTGAAAATCGCTGAACTCGGAAAATAATCGAGCCCTGCGCCCCTCAGGGTGACTGGAGAGCCCAGGAGAGGGGGCGACTCAGGTTCAGGTCCCAGAAGTGCTCCCGCCTGTCCCCTTCCTGCTTGCCACCCAGTCAACGCCAATGTCAAATGCCCTTTTCCTTTCTGGTATTTTCAGCTCCATCACCCGTCCAAAAAAGTGAAAGGAAGAACTCAGCGGGTTTTTGTAAAAGCCCTTGTTCTTTTCATCCCACCTCCAGAGGGCGAGGGGCGCTCGGCCGCGTTTGCTTGGGGGCAGGAACCCCATGCTGGGCTCAGCCTGAGCTCTGAATACTGCTTGATGTTGGGTTGTTATCACTATTATTCCGTTTTAATTTTTTAAATCCTCCCCAAGGACATGTGAGGAAGGGAGACAGAGACATCAGTCGGGGGCCTTCTGTGCGAGCCCCAGCGGGGGAATAAACCCGCAACCCGGGTGTGTGCCCTGCCGAGCACGGGACTCGCCCAGCTGAGCCACTCCCGGCCAGGCGGCACTATTATTCTTTACAAAGATCTGTGTACATTAAAGTCCAAAGCATCATATTTTTTGCTCCTAGATGGCATCTTAGAGAGTGCCTCCTTTAATGTCGTTTCTAGTGAAACCAGGTCAGAATGGAGAGGACAGGCCAGGCTGGGTCCCTGGGGCACGCGCTGCTCTGGAGAGGGCTCTGGGGCAGCCAAAGTCACGTCCTCACAGCGCTGGTTCTGCTCCCGACCCGGAGTAACCTTGAGCAACTTGGCATCTCTGCACTTTAGGTTAGTAAAACTGCTAGTTAATTGTCACCTGACGGGGCAGCGCTGAGAGGGTCCCCTGGCAGGAGGAGCTGGAGAACTTCTGACCTAATGGGGAAGCTGTGCCGTCCTCCCCCACCCCCGCCCATGTGTTTTGTTTCCCTGTTGCTCCCCTCTCCCCTCTTGCTGATGTGTTTGTTTCTCTCTGACCTCAGGCTCCCAGAGGCGGCGCGAGTCCGAGTCTGTGGCTAGAAGCGGGAGAAACACAGGCAGCCACCTTCCCAGCCCCAACCTGGCACTACTGGATGTGGCTGCTGAGCCAGGGGCGACCAGGTCCCTGAGCTCCGCAGCCTGGGCTTTGAGGGACCCAAAGGAAGACAGCCCTTGGAGCAGATATGTTTGCCACAGAAAGCCACACCACACCCTGGCCTTGTGGAGCCTCTCCACAGCCGGGAAGAGACGCCATGGGAGTGCAGAAGCTGCTCCCCAGCGCGGGCACCGACCAGGAGGCCCTGCGGGCAGCTAAGAGAGAGCGCTGGTGGGAGGCCTGGGCGAAGGTGAGGCCGCGCTGGGAGAGGGCCGGGTCCTGGCTCCTGCAGCTCCCTCCCCCGCTCCCGTCGACAGGTCAAATGGACTCAGCTGTTTCAAGCCGAACAACACCCAGGAAAGGGGCACAAGGCCCTTCTCAGTCTGCACCCTGCACCTTCGTGGAGCGCTTCCCGAAACCTGCCGGAGTGGCAGCCTCCTTCCCTCCTGTTCATTTTCAGTACACCCTCCCCCCTCCTGCTGCTGTTTCCTCCCGTCCCGGTCCTCCTTTCCTTCTGTACATCCCAGTTGCTGGCCTTGTGCCTGTTTCTGTATTTTTCCTACTCCACGGTTTTCCTTTTCTCTTAGCTTGCTGACCTTGAGACCAGGTGTGGGCCTCTGTGTACAGACTCCCTGACCCTCTCCTGCTCTTCCAGAAGCCAGTTGCCCTTGAGGACGTGGCTGTGAACTTCACCCAGGAAGAGTGGGAGTGTCTGGATGCCCGTCAGAGGGTCCTCTACCAGGATGTCATGTCTGAGACCTTCAAAAACCTGGTGTTTGTGGGTAAGCAGCTGGGGTGCCCGCAGCAAGCCCCGTCCGGGACCCTGCAGCACTTGATTTCCCTGGGCAGGCCGATCAGCTTACGAGCAGCTTCACTGCCCTTGGTCTCAGGTGTGAGGGATCTGGGAAACTAACTCGGTGAGAGTCCAGGAAATGGAAGCCTGGGTGCAGGCAACGTGGTACCAGTGCTCCCCCAGGCCGCAGGCTCACTCACTGTTCATCCCACCGGGACTCTCTGAGGCACTCGGGTCATGACCCACACTACTTAGGAGCTCACCTTTTGAGTGTCCTCCCTGCACCTATGTGTCCCAGACTATGGTTCTTAAACCAAGGACACAAAAGAAGTAGCCTGTTGCCCCCTCTGGGTACGGAGGGGCCAAGCCTGGGACCTCAGTGCCTTCTCCTTCCCTTGTCCAGCTAGAATCTTTCTGTCTAACCCAGATCTGATCACCAAGCTTGAACAAGAAGAGAAACAGTGGGGAGCAGATCTCTGTCCCGCAAGTGGAGAAGGCCTCCCTGCAGGTAGGCGGTCATCTGCTCGAGTCCCTTGGCTTCAAGAAGATGGATATTTAAGCATTCAGGACAAGTGACTGCCTCCAGTTTCTGGGTTGAGAGACTACATGGAGGGTGCTTACATCAGTGATACTCCTTTGCTGAAAGTCTTTTCTGAGGGAAAAAGAAAGAGAGGGGTGAACTTGCTGCCAAGCTGGGGTGGGAGACTTGTTCCTGAGTGTTGAGTACGGACTGAGAGAGACTGCAGGCCAGGCTGACCACACCTGGTTGCCAGGCACCCCAGTTTGTACTTCTCAGTTCAGCTTCATTTTCAGTAGCACCTCCTTTCACTGCTGTCCCAGTTTGCATATGTTATGAAAATAAGCAGAAATGGATTTCAGAAAATCTTATAAGTTAACATTTTAATCTGATACTGTTGACAGATTCCAGTTAAATTTTTACTTGCATTTAATTTGAATTCCCCCCCCCCCCAAATTATCCTTATGTCTAGCCCATGAGGTCTGAGAGTGAGGCAGGAGGGGTAGGGTCTTGGACTGAATGGCAGGTTCTCAGAGCATCTTGCTGTGTTCTTCTTCCCCAGTTGTTATAGGAGGCAATAGGGAGGACCTTCAGGAGCACAATCCAAGTCTGGGAGATGAGACTGGATGCACAGGGTCTGGCCTACCCCCTTTTCCAGCTGGGTCCCTGAACAGGACCCCAGTGCTCCCGACGTCCCGGGCCGGGCCATCCTTTCCCTGCCACATCTGTGGCAGGAGCTTCAGTAAGCGCTCCAACCTCCGTTACCACCAGTTTGTCCACAATTTTAAGGGGACAAACAACTGCAGCCAGTGTGGGAAGTCATTTCGGAACCCCAAGGCCCTCAGCTACCACAGACGTATACATCTTGGGGAGAGGCCCTTCTGCTGCTCACTTTGTGACAAGACCTACCGTGATGCTTCTGGCCTGAGTCGCCACCGCCGGGTCCATCTGGGTTACCGGCCCCATTCATGCCCCTTCTGTGGGAAGTGCTTCCGGGACCAGTCCGAGGTCAAACGTCACCAGAAGACACACCCAAACCAGGAGCCAGTGGCCAGGACCCAAGAACCCATATTTAGAATCAAGGGCCCTGTAGTTCACAACCAGCCATCTGTCGACAGGAAGCAGGAATGTGCAGTCAAGAGCCAGGTGGTCATGGCAAGAGCTCAGAACCCCGCTACCACAACCCCAGGGCCTGGGGCCAGCATGCAGGCAGCCAGCCCTAGGGTCCACTGCCTGAGTACCAAGTCCAAGTCCCACCTTCCAAAGCCTTCAAGATGCAAGGTCTTCTCTTGCTCTTACTGTCCCTTGACTTTTGGTAAGAAGGCCCATCTCTCCAAGCATCAGAAGGCCCACCTCACAGAGCAGTCCAACGGCTGCTTCTGCTGTGGCAGGTCCTTCTGCTCACTCTCTGGGCTGCTCAGGCACCAGCAGACTCACTGGAAGCAGAAGGTCTACCGTTGTCCTGTCTGCGACATCTGCTTTGGGGAGAGGGAGGACCTTGTGGGCCACTGGGGGAGCTACAAAGGCAAGGGGCTGTGCCTGGGCAGTCCCCACAGGTGCTGGGCTATTCTGGGCCAGTGGCTTGGCCTTTTGCATGGTGCCTCCCCTGTGGCAGGAAATGGATCTCCTAAGAGCCATTCCCCCAGGAGACGGAGGGAAGGGAGAAGGGATGCAGAGGAAGGGAGGCAGATGAGGCGGTGAGAGTCTTGGAACATAAATAAATGGACTTTCTGATGGAGGCCCTGGTTTGTGTTTGGTTTTCCAGGGTAGAGAGGCTGGGGTGGAGGGGGAGAGCCGAGGGGATAATGAAGGAATGCAGAAAGGAAAAGGGACCAGAAGTGGCACCAGAAACTTGTATTATTAATTAGCACCTAGCTTGTTTCCTTGTGTCTCATAAACCATCAAGCAGTAATTGTTGTTGAACAAAACAGTGAGCACTCTGATGGGTGAGAAAATGGGAGGGCAAGTCCCAGGGACCCGTCTGTAGGAGCCGGGGAGGGAAAAGGAAAGCCTTCTAAAGCAGGCGGCGGCCCAGCTGCATCCTTGGTTGCTCGGCTCCTCGGCAGGCTGCAGGGCGAGGTGGAGCCGGCCTGTGTCTGTGGCCCCCCTTGTCCTCTGCAGCTCCCTCTGCTCTTGGGTGTTTCGGGCTCATCAGACTGCTTCCCTGCCGCCCTCCGCTCGGCCCACCGGGCCTGAGGTCTTGGAGGTACCGGCCAGCGTTTACAACACAACCTCAGACCCTCCCCTGCGCCTCTGGGGAGCACCTGACTTCCAGGTGGAGACAGGAGCTGGAAAGACGCTAGTAGCAAAAGTGGAGAAAGACAGCAGCTGGGAAAAGGTACGTGAAGGGAGAGAAGCCACCGGGTGTGTAGATGAGGTGGAACAACTAATCCATGTTTCTCTCCAAGAAAACATTTTTTTTAAAGAAATCAATCCTTTGTGGAATTTAGAGCATTCCTAGAAGTGCAAATTGGAAAGTCCCCACAGCAGAGGCCAGTGAGCGTGCAACCTGATGGATGGAACTATTGCAAGGACCAGTCCTTGGGCCAGCCGGGCTCTCCTACACTCCTGCCAAGATGCAGCGTCACTCAGAAGGGGTTTCCTAGGAGGAGAAAGTGACTTGAAAAATCTGTCAGCAGTTTCTACCTTGAAACCAGGGAGAGGAAAGGCCCTCAGGGGTCATCTGGTCTGTGCCTGTCTCAGTGGGTGGTTGAGTTGAGGCCCAGGCAGCTGCCCTAGGACTGGGATTTTTGCCCAGGGGCACCAAAGGTGGAGCAAATCGGGCAGCAGGTTGCTGTGCCCCCAGCTTCCTTCCCTGACACCTGTAAAGCTGGCGAGAGGGCTCCTACCTCACAGGGGCTCCCCCTGTACCCATGAAGCCCATGTACCCCTCCTTTCCTCTGGGCTTTCCATCCCTCAGTAGCCCCTCTTTCTCTTGCTACTTTCCTGCTTTTGTTTTCAGCTTATAAGAAGGAGAGAACTTACTTAGTTCTTCAAGAAATTGCCCTGAAAACAAAGAGAAATAGGTGACTGGTGGAAGGTGACCAGCTCCCTCCCCACACCCTCCCTGTGCAGATCCGCAGGGACCCCCCCTTCCCTTCCACTAAGGGACCCTGTGGATTCTCTGAGGAGCCCGCAGTTGGCCCTGGGGAGGAAGGAAGTCCCAGCATCTGGAGCCCTGGTTCATCTTTCTGTTTCCCATTCAGGACTGACTGACCCCCACTGCTCGTGTCCTGTTTGCCTCCCTCCGCACCTGCTAGTCTCCGATGTAGCCAGTTGTAGCAGATCATCAAGGCAGCCAGGGGTCCGAGAACTGGCACAATGACAAACAGGGTGATCTTCCAGCAGGGCACCCTCAGGAAGTGAGGATCTGACATGCCCACCAAAGAACAAACAGGGTTAATGGCGCTCTCCCTACAGCCACTACCCCTCCGTAGTGTGTTGGGTTTCCAAACACTGGGCAACAAGGGGCCACATGCTGACCTGACTAGCTTGGGAGGTCTGTGTGGTGGCCTTGCAAACTCAGAGACCTAAAGTAACCATAAAGGATGGTCTGAAGTTACAGCGTTTCAACTAAAAGCAGGTTATGGTGGCCCATGTCCCAGGCCGGCATCTTCCCTGACAAGGGTCCGTCTTTACCCTAACTGAGCCTGTCTATTGTCTTTTTCCATCTGTGATAACATATCATGGGAATGTCGGAGCAATTTTCCTTTTTCCGGACCCCTCAAAGCTCAGGCACCGCTCTGCGCTCTGCGGAGACCCCCGTCCCCTCCTCGTATTGAGTCAACTGTCCTGCACCCACCTAAGTAAAAGAAGTGTGTCCGTCATTTCACTTTCTGTCCAAGCCCAGAGGTTTCCCCGCTTTGCTCCCCCCCAACCTGTCACCCCTGGATTTCATGTGACCCACTCACGTCCCCTCTTCTGATTGTAACGTGTAAACAAGGGGCCACTGCCATTCTCGGGAGACTGTCTCAGCCTTGGAGAGTCTGCTTCCCGGGAATGGTCGGCAGTTTGGCTCAAACAAACTCACAGAATTCTTCACAGGTTTGAATGTTTCTTACTTGGACAATGTGTTGCAGAAATCTCAAAATGTTGCTTATGTTTATCAATATTTTGAAATGACAAGTTATTAGACATGAACCACATCCTAGTGGGGCTTGGTGTCTTCACTCTTCCTCCAAGAAGCCTTCCATGGTTAGTCATGGAAAGCGACACCTGGAGTTCAGTTGGTGATATGTGTTCTTTGTTTTCAGTTAATTCATGTACATAGGTCACTTCCCCAACTAGACAGCAAGTATTTGTGCAAAGGTTCTGTTTACCTCCCCTGTGTATTGCCTGAGAGGAGAAACAATGCCCACGGTGTAACCCCTACACGGTGAGTCCACAGGGGAAGCTGCCGCACAGCCGGCACGCTGCGGTGTGTCCCATCACCTTACCCATCCTACACGCGGGAGACTTATTCAAAGAAAGAGAAGGCCAACCAGGAGCCGGGGGCCTGCGTCTCCCCGCGGCTGGAGCCGGTGAAGCGGCTGGTCAGGGCGGGAACCCCAGCGCTTACCGAAAGTCCTGTGAAGGTTCTCTGCAAAGAGCAAGTGAACAGGGACTTAGAAGGCACCCGGGCTGTGCTTGCTCCTCTGGCTGTGGCTTTTGATCACTTAGAATTGTTTCTAGCTGAGAGGGACACAGGACGGACGGACGGATGGAGGGCGGCTGGGGTTCTGGGCTACCCTGGCTCAGCAGGGGGAGGAGGGAATGCCCCACCGGTCTCGCTGCTCGAGTTTTAGAGGGGACTTGGGGTATTGGGACAGAGGCAAAGGCCGTTTTGGTTATGGGGTCCAGGGGGAGGGTGCCTGGGACTCACCTATCTCTGCCCGAAGTTTTCCTAAAATAAAGAAAGGCAACACTTAGTTCCTGCTCGGCCCCG